AGTATTATGGTATATACATACATATAAATTAAAAAATTGTCCTATTTCTTTTTTAAAAAATAACTTTGTACTACTTAAACTAATAAAATTTGTTTAAGAAATTTAAAAATTATTACTATTATAGTTTGAATAAGTCTACCTTGATTTTTTTAGAAATTTATTTTCAAAAATAAGTAGCAGTATTGTTGTTGATATGTTTATTCAGTCATGCATAAATAATACAAAATTTATTACAAAAAAATTCGCAATGAATGGAGTATATACTTAAGTACATATATAAGTTTAGTAGATCATAAATTCTAAAATGGGTCTACATTAATGTAATAGAGTTACCCCTTTTTAGTTTTTGTGCTATTATATTTTAATAAATTATTACATTTGTGCGTTTCAAAATTCTTGTAAATTATTGAAGAAAAAGAAATATGAAAGAGTAAGTGCAATGTAATAACAAATTTCATTTCCGTCCAAGTTAAGAATGCTTTGACTCATCGAAAGCAGCGCGAATGAGATTAAACAGTGGCGTAATCATCCGTAGTCCAACAGTACTCTACTCGGCTAGTACTGTTCTATAACTATTAAAAGTATAAAAATCTTTTTTTTTTATACAAAATAGCTAATTGTGTTATATTAGGTTAAAAGAATAGCGAAAAAAATTTGTTTAATTACCGACCGTACTGCATACAATAAGAGAGTAGTGGCGCCAAATTTCGGAAGTCCAGTTTTCTGTAAGAACGCATACTTTTCCAAGATAGGGAAGCAAAAATTAAATGGCACCTCTTTAAATGTAGTTTACATTTAAAGAGGTGCCAGTTTATCTGTTTGTCTGGCTGTACGTCGGTCTATGTCTGCCCATAAATTTTATTTTTTTGATTTATTCACATTTTTTAGGTATACGTTATAACTAAAAGCTTACTTGCGCATTTAAAATTGGAAAGAAATATTTAACAGGCAATAAACTTCTGTATAGCTTTTGTTAAACTAGACAATTGACATTGCGGCCCATTATATATAGGCCACATCAAATTTTTTTTCTGTATATAGTGGTAAAATTTTCTTTTATTAGAACATAAAATATTGAGAACTTTTTGCTGTTATCACGTTGACAATAATAAAAACCAAATCATAACCAAATTCAATTTGTATGAAAATACAAAATATTGCAAATAAAGCCCCACTAGTAACTAAAATTCATGCATTGCATTCGAATTTAACCTTAAAATTTAACATTAAAATTTAATTGCAAATATTTTTATCAGTAATTTTAATAGACAATAATTTTTTTTTTGTTTTAATCAAATTATTTAAAAATTATGGTATGAATGAATGCTTTTAAAAACGTAAATGAATAAATTTAAGAAATTTTTCATGCTGTTGTGAGATTTGTGTTTTACATACAAAATTTTTTGTTTTTTTCGAAGGTCTTATTAAATATTCAAAAAAAAAAATGAAAACAAAAAACTGTCAAAGAATATTTTTTTTAACAAGTTTTTTTTTTGTTTTTTGTTATTTTTCATGTTATTTCATTTCATTTCCTATATCAATTTAAAAAGAGTGCATTCACATCGTTAATTTATAATGTATGTAATTATTTATGTCAAATTTTAAATTATGAATATAATACGAAAAAATTTACAAATCTAATTAAAAACAAATTTTATACCACCAGAATAAAAGAATGAAATAAAAATTGAATAAAGTTATTATGGAATAAAATAATTTTGATATGGAGGTCAGAATATTGTTATACAAAATAATATCATTTATTTTTTATAGTATCTTTTATGTTTTCGGTGACAAAATGTTGAAAATAATAATTTATAATTATATATGGGAAGATTCATTGCACAGTCATACAAGTAAGATCTCATTAAAGAACCTTCAAATCGCATAATATAATGTGACTGAATTTTAATTAAAATTTTTATATTAAAAATAATAAATGCAAAAATACTATTAAGTTTCATTAAATGAAAAGTGTAGAAAAACAAAACAAAAAAACACTGATTTTCTAATTATTAAAATAGATCATGAAATCTTTTTCGCATTTTAAATAATTATTAAATTAGAGATCTATAGATCGCAAAAAAAAAAACAAAAAACGTGGAATAAATTATATTAAGCAATAATAATAATAATTCATTCTGTTGCATTTCAAATTTTTGAATTTTTATGAATTTGCTAGGGTCACACAATCCATTTTTCATTTTCCCACAATTAAATTCATATTCATTTGATTTTTGCATCATATTACAGACATTTACGAGTATATTGCATTGTGACAAGGGCGCGTATATTTTATTTTTTTTTTCATTTTTTATTAATTTTTTCACTTTCTTTCTCATATATTATTGTACAATGCTACAAATAACATTTTATCAATTTTATATATTAACTTGAATGATATTATTCAATTGTGCTTGGAGGTGCAAGGTGTGTCTTGGTGAATTTTTCTGCATACGCAATAAGAACTAATTTTATAAAGCTATGCAGTTAATAGTGCGGGTGAAATATAAAAATTTAAATATTTTGCTTAGTCCAAATAATTTGTGGAGCCGAAATCTTAAATATGTTGTCATTAAATTTTTTATTTATGTATAAGTTTATTTTAAATTTAGATTGCATTGAACAAGGTTAATTTGAACTGGAAATAATGGTACTACCATAGAAAGTTTTAAATAACTTCTTGCATCTAAATTGGATTAAACCGAATTCATTAGTTAGCTATCTGCGTAAATTACAGCTATCAGCTGCCGAATAATGTTTGTTATTAGAATTCATACAACAGCCGCAATAAATAGCAAGCTATCTTATTATGCAATTTTCTCTTCAGTTTCTTATACCCACGCCCCAACAATATTCTATAAACTTATACTCCGCAATATTTTTGCTACGTAATTTGCACGTAATTTTCCATTAAATAAATTAAACAATAAACGAAAAAAAAATTAAGTATCTTAGAAATCATTCATTTCATTAACTTACTTGTTTAAATTTCCAGTTTTAAAATGAATCTCAATACATTAATGAATCTGATTCATAAAACGCGTGCATTGGTCTTAAAGTTTTTTTTTTCCAATGGTCAATAAACAGTTCTCATGGTATATCAGGTTAACAAACTTTAATCGAAAATATTATAGTAAAACAGTTTTAAAATATTAAAAAGCATAAATAAAAATTACAATTATATAATATTTACGATATGTACGGCGTGTATGACCTCGAATGTTGATAACCCGATATGGACAAGAAATAAACAAAAAACCAACATAACTTTAAGCAAACAGGGCATTCAATTGATTTTTTTTTTATTTTTTAACTATGAAAACTAAAGAAATTTTTTTTTTTAAAGCAAAACATAAATTACAAGTCAGAATGATTAACCATTTGCACAGAACTTGCAAAATTATAATATAAAAAATTATGTATAAAATTACGTACAACTAAGCATTTTTTATAATAGCAAAATTTATAACCTAGACACAGAATAAATTAAAGATCTTCAGCATTCGGAGATCATTGAAATGGATGATGAGAAACTCTTTATAAGTAGACGATGCAATGAAATATTAAATTATGAATTCAAGTCTGCAAGAGAAACATTTAAAACTATAACAAAATATGAAATATTGGCAGTTTATTTATTTTTGAATTGTTGTAGCTTGAAATTCATAAGATTTGTTTAAAATTATATTCAATAACCATGATATTCTTTAATTTGAAATTATACTTAATTATAATTACTAATACCATCTTTAAAAATTCTAAAGAGTTCGAATTACTGATTTTAACTGCGTGGTTAGTTTTATCTAATGATTTATCTAATGTTGAGCTAAAAATCAAATACAATTGAACCACCTCTTTATTAATGCAATTCACGTAGTTTTTAGTGTACCTTATAAATATAATAATATTAGTTCCATATAACATATTTATTTATAATATTTAATTCATAAAGAGGTTCTACGTACAAGAGACAACTATAAGCTATTACATATAGTTTATTTTGTTTAGTGAAAATTTTTTCAATCCCAAAATAATTACAATTTATGATTTGCTTATTTTACAAGATTTGTAAATGATTATAATAAAAGATTCAATGTGAACTATTGCGCCACGAAGCGTGTTGTTAAAATTTCTATAATATTAATACATTTTTAATCCAATTTTACATTTTATAACATGCTTTCAAAACTTTATTGCATTATTTTAAAAATAGTAAACTAATTACATATACCCTTGCTTCCAAAAATATTCTATTTTAATAAATTTTTTTTTAAGCGCTTTCAAAACATTTCCCATCCCTCCCCTTTTTGGTTTATTATGAATTATAATTTCATTAACTTGCGTTACCATTTAATAATACTCACAATACACTTTAATATTGAAACATTTTAATATTGAAATTCGTTGTTTATTTTCTTAAAAATAGTCAAAAAAATAAAATCAGCCTGTTGTAAAGTTCTAGTTCCAGAAACCTGGATTATTCCAAAAACGTCCAATACATAATCGGAATTTCGTGCACAGACAGAGAGAAATCTCTTTAAATCTTATTTATTTACATGTCCATTCACACGAAAATTGGTATCACTATAATATAATCTCCCTTATTGTATGCAATGCACTCGGTAAAAATGTGATCGTACGTTATGTTTTATGTAGTCTTAATAAATTTGAAACACCGTACAGACAATTTGAATTCCGGAAATCAAAGGCAGCAACAGAACCGAAATTCAAGTTTTATGAAAAAACATTTTTAACTAATTTTAAAAATAATCGTGCCTAATTTTATGCAATTTTTTTTAAAATAGAATTTTTCAAATTACAATTTAAACGAAGTGCCATGGCACATTATAGTAGGGTATAACTGTTAAAATTTTTACTTTTTTTTTTATTTATAAATATATAGTAAATGTATGTAATGAAAAGTTAATTATAGGATAATTAAATTATAAAAAGCATATATAGGGTCTATTGTTCAAAATAACAAAATGCCTACTCACCTTTTAACTTTTATTATAATAAAATTTTCTATTTATTAAATTTTTTCCAAATTAACTTCTCTATTATTTATACTTTACTTAGCACATGCACTAAATTAGTTTGGAATTTCTACAATAGAACATACAATTTTTTCTCTATTTAATTAAAAAGCCCTCTTGTTATTTATTTAAAATTAATAATTATTATTTTTTTATTTTAATTAATTTGCATTGTTACCTTCACTTATAATCACAAATTTTATGTTTTGTTATTGTTTCTTTTAATTTAAAATTATTATAATTTAATTGATTTTATAATAAATTGCCAAATATTTTTACAAACAAGTTATTTTAATGAATAATTAATAAAAATATAGTTTTTAAAAATCGTTCAACTTATAACACTTTAGAAATAAAAAAACAAACGTAAATAAATTGTTATACAAGTTATTCTTGATAATACGGTTCTTTTAATTTTCATAAATTTTTTAAATGTAAATTTCAATAATAATACTAAATAAAAAAAAAATTTTCAATACTGTTAAAAATTTTTTGTATTTTGTAAATTCAATAAAATAAAAATAAATTTTAAATAAAATTCCAAATATGTTTTTATAAAATAAAAAAAAAACCAAAACACTTTTCTGCTTCTACCGTTTCCGACCTTCTAATTCATCGCTCGATCGCATGGATTCAACTAAAATTAAAACGTTCACCGAGTAACTCTTTATTTATAAATAAAGTATAATAAAAAAATATAAAAATCTTTCATACCATATGGTTAAAATTTACAATTGGAGAGAAAAAAAAAAGTAAAACAGTCAAAATAAATTTGTATTTTTTTTTTCAGTTCTGATTCAATATAAACGAATCGTGTAAAATTTTCGTTTTGCTTAACTTTGTATATACAAAAACTAACCAAACTTACCGAAACTATCAAAAATATTAAATTAAATATAAAGAATGATTAAAATTGCGAAAAAATAACAATAACAATGAGTATGAAAAGCATTTTATTTACGTTATTGTATTCTTATTTTGCTCATAGTTCATGGTTATCTATATTATCTACATATAAACACATTATTAGTATATTAATATTGGTAGTAGTCATTATAGTATATCTAGTTGCAAAGTCTCCGAAAATATGAGAAAAGCCAACAAGTATGATAAAAAACTATACTATTTAGATAATACAATAATATTGTGAATTGCATCTTAAAATGCATAATTTCTACATCAATTTGTTGAGTACATACAACCATACCAATTCTTTACCGAAAATATTTAAAAATGTAAATGTAAGTAGCAACTTTTTTTTCTGTAATAGTGTTTAAATATTATTATGGAGCGAAAGCGAATTGAGTATAGAGAGAATGAAAAAATTTTATAGAGAAAATATTAAGACATTTATTGTAAAAAAGATTAGTAAATAATGAAAAGTTAAGAAAATATTCACCATAGACTGTGGAGAGTAAAAATATTAACCGTTTGTTTACATATTGTTATGTTTTGATTTGTTTTTACAATTTTATGCCACACATTGTTTCACATTGTTTATTTTATAGCGATTAAATACGATAAATTAAGAGTTGTTTAAATCTTGAAATTCTCACAGAAAATAAGAAAATTAATTTTGAACAGTTAAAAGAATAATTTTCGAAATTTAGTAACGCATCTGTACATACATAACATAATTATGATAGTTAAGATGTGTTGAATGGAATTTTAAAAATTAAGAACTTAGAAAATACTCAGAAAAAAAAAATTTAAACTATTTTTAAATGTGTTTTTTATTCTTATTTTTTTAGACATCCAAAGGTTTAAACAAGTGGGATTTTTTTTAAAGTTTCAAAAAGAAGGTAATTTGATTATTTAAGATCTATTTAAAATAACTCACACTTAAACGTATTCTTTCAATTTTCTTTAAAAAGAATCAATTTCTGTATGGTTGTTAGATTTTTTACTTGAAAAGCAGACAAATAACGTGACAATATCCTTGTGTTTTTGTCAGAATTTCAGAATTAGTTGATAAACGAGTCGCATAAAAATTTTATGAAATACATTTTAAACTCTAATAAATGTTTTCTAACTCAATTTGGACAAACTATCGGAATTCATGGCCATACCAAGACCGGATTGGGAGAGTATTTGAAAGCTTCCTTGGCCTAAAAAAACGGACATTATAGAACTCATGGTCATTTCTAGACCGTTGTCAATTCCAGTTGTAGTTTTACAAACCCCAAATTAAGATATACAAAGCCTTGTCTAAAAATCATCACAAAAGTTATGGATAACACATAAAAAAATTGGGAAATAAAAAAATATTTTGTGAGTTAGACACGAAATATTTACACTCAATAAAAAGATATTTGAAAACCAGAACCCCGCTCCGAAGAATAACATAAATAATTGCATTTTTTATTTAAAGCTTTAAAGTAAATCTAACAAAACCTGGATTAACAATATTTGCAGTAAAATAACAAGAATTTAATTTTTCAATTTATACAAATAAAAAAAAAGACTAATGCAATAAATATTTTAATTCTAATTAATGTAAATTATTGCACAAATCATTCGAAACGTTAACTTAACTTGTTAAGTTTTTTCTGACATAATGAAAAAAACAAATTAATGCAAAATTTGTAAAGTGTCATTCGGCTTTACAAATTAATTTTTTTATAATATTTTTACATGTTTTCGTATACAATTTCTTTCACATTTTTCTTTTAATTGAAATGCACAATAATAGTGCCAATCAATTATGGAGTCATAATTGGATACGTTTTAATGATTATATGTTTAAGAATCGTGACTTTAAGAAATCCTTAAACTTGGAAAAATCGTTTTCATTTTATCACCATTTTTTATCTTAAAGTTAGATGCTTACGTTTCGCACAACAGTTACAAGGTGATATGCATTTTATGTTTAATTCAAAAATTATATGAATAGAATTGAAAACGTTCAACTTTGAGAATAAAGGAGTTAAGAGTTTGAAATTGTCAAAGTTTTTTTTCCACTCCGTAGTTAATAGATAAGAATTATAACATAACACATAACAGAATTTTATGCAAAACTTAACTTCGAAGTGCAAAAACATACATTTTTGGAAAAAAATTCTTAAACACCTTCTTGATTTTAACCCTTTGAAAACTATGGTCAAACTCTATAGTAACTATAAAGGCTTCTATAGAACTGTACAAACGTATGTTTGGAGGGTTTAATAACTTTGCCTTACCATTTTCAATGTTAAGAAATAATGGTCTGAGATATAGACTCAGGTATAAGTTTTAATCAGCGTCTGTCCGCCCATCCGTCTGTCCGCCTATCCGTCTGTCCGCCCATCCGTCTGTCCGCTCATCCGTCTGTTGCAATTATAGTTCAAAACTAATTGAACTAAGTTTTCCAAATATAGTAAATGCCAGAACCCTATTTAAATTGAATATGATCGCAGTACTAGTTCGGATAGCTGCCGCACAACTTCAAAATTTATTTGGTTTATGTCTTACAAACTGATCAATCTACTGTACTGAACTTTTGTTAAAACAAATATGGTAACATGGTAGCTGTATTCGTTAAAAATTAGTTTTCGTTGAGATCTCATAAGTGCTTATGAAAACTGTCACACGACTCCAAATATTATTTGCCCGTGTCTGAAAAATTATTAAGCGCATAGTTTTGAAAATTTGCACACGTAAATATGTCGTTATGCTTGATAAAACCGTTGAAATTTCTCGGCTGTTTGTAGTAACTACCTTACATCTTCATAATCTGTTTGTTAATAACTAACAAACTATTAAAGCTACAAAGCTGAAATTTTGAACAAACAAATTTAATGAAGTGACCATAATTTTCAATAAAACTCTTTTAGATTATATGGGTTTATATGGTAACTATCATATATGTTTATAATAGCAATATAGACATAAAGAGCAAGAGGTTGTTTGAAGCTTGAAATTATGTCCGGAACTTAAAATCACTTAATGGTGTGAATATCACAGTATATCTATTCTAATTTTTTTTTTTTGAAAAGTAACTTAGGCATTTAGAAATTATGATCGATAATTTCTCCAACATAACATCGCGCCATTATTAAATACGGAAAAACAAATTCATTTTATTCGACTAAAAGCTTTTGTATTCTGGTATAAAAAATATTGACTGTAAATTATTCAAACAGAAATTAAATAAAATTTTGAATGAAAAATATGATTATAAAATTTGAATAACTATATGCCTTAAAATATAATATTTCAACTAGAAGGTCAAATATTACAAAAAAATTGAATTTATAAAAAATATTAAATTACAAATTTTCAAAAAACGGAATTAAAATTTATAATAATTTTAAAGTTCATTTATAAGATCATTTTTTACATGAGATTGGGGATGATAATCCTTCTGAGACAAAAAAAAAGATATTCGCCCGGTCATAAATTGCATCCGGCAATTTAAAATTCTCGGAAAAGGAAAAGTAGCTCATTAATATTGTTAAAATGTCCTTAAGTATTTAAGATTTTAATTCCACTATCGGTTTTAATTTATGTTATAATTAATTTTGTATATCTGATTAAGTTTTTTTTCACTCCAAACTAATTTACTTTTTGTATTTGAAAATTAACAAAATTAGCTTGTAAATTTTGACTTGTAATATGTGATAATTTAAGTAAAAAACTTACAAAATATAAACCTTATGTGTCAACATTTTATTGAATTTTTAATACAACATGTAAATTTATCTATGAAATAACAACAATAACAAAAACAAAATTCGGCGCTAAATGTGTTAATCACAGTAGAGGTGTCTTCATACTATAAACTTTAGGTATTTGTTTATATTTTTTTTGTTATTTTTTAATATTTATCTTCCGAATATTGAAGATAAATTTCAGGTTCCCTCCGACTTAGAAAAAAAATAAAGTAATTTTTCTTTTATCTTTTTATTTATTTTTATTCACAATATTAACGTGACCCATGAATAATTCATTAAGGATAAGTAATTGATACAAAACAGAAAAAAAACATTTAAATTGATCAGATTAGTGTTAAGACAATTTATAATACCAGGGGTGGTTTTATTTCGTCTTAATTCTTTATTATTATTATTTATTTTTTATTAAGTGTATTTTGTTAGAAAATAACAAAAAATATTTTATTGGGATGTTTTTAATTTTTTTAGTGTCAAAATTTAAACAGAAACGAAACCTAAACGATTTAATTGCAAGCAATTCAATATCAAAAAACCAGTTTATTTAAATCGGTTCGATTAATTTTTTAAACTTGATTAATTGGCGAATCAGATTTACAAAATCTTAATTATTTACTAAAAATTGTTTTCTTTTTTTTTATATACATATAAAATTAAATGACATTATTGTCATGTCCTTGACAATAATGTCAAAGTTAAAATTAGATTTTGTTAAAGATATTGCAATATAGTTTTTACTAAAACAATATTTAAATTGAACGCAATCAAAACTAGTATAAACAATATTCTATTTTAAGCAATTAATAATCTTTATAACAAACTGAATACGAGCCCTTTTAAAATTATGATTTTAAATCTAATTAACAATTGATTCTCTAATTCGGACAACAAATATGTACCTCTTTCAATGTGCTGTAAATTTTTAGTTTATTTTGTATGTTGCAATAGAAAAATTGAGCAAGACATGTAATAAT